TATTTTTTGATTTCTTTGTTGTGAAACGTTATATTTGTTTACTCGGCATTGTTGTGTTCCACAACAATGCCGAGTAAACAAATATCTGTTGGCATTGTTGATGACGTCATTTTTTGAAGACAAATTGGTTGAAGACAACGACTAATCACAAATTTTTATAGTAAGAAGATTAATTTGTTCTATTTGTTGGACATTGGTAGAACTCCTTGGATGAGTGATCAGCCCATCGCAAGGCCTCTACCTATACAAACACAGAAAGACGCGGAAAAACATCCATGCCTTGAGTTAGACTCGAACTCACGGTCCCAGTGTCCTAGCGCACGAGGTCCATGCCTCAGAATGCGTGGCCACTGCGACCGGCCCTCAACTTTTCAACAACAAATTTAAATTATTTGTTGTAACCTAACAACGTTTCTTAATTGGTATTATTTTAAATGAGTCACAAAATATTAACGGACGAATTAAATAATAGTTGGCATAATAAAAAGTAAGACTAAAATTAATCTACGAAATTCCTTATACTACTGGATACTGGGAACGACCCGTTCTTCAAGTGCCTGAGCACTGCGGGTCCCAAATTTTCGTTGGCTTTGATCTATAGACATTCGGTAGGAATCCTTGGACGAGACGAAATTCCTTATATTATTATGCATATATATGGAATTATATTTATGAGTGAATAAAGCATGTGAATGTTGTAAATGTGCGTCTGTCCACATTTATTTATAAGGGTAGCCAGACTGGCAACACTGCAGAATGTACCTATCGTTATAAAAGAGCCGACCGGTGATGTTTCGACCAGGGGCGATAAAGGTGCGCCCATGGGAATCGGTGTGGAGCGATGCAGCTTTATACAGACAGAGGAAGCAGATATGTGGAGCAAGAGAGCATCACACTCGGGTTTGATAACAAATGCTTTTTGTTCTTCCTGTTGTACTTCATCACATGCTTTGTGGATTTGATTGCGCCTTCAGAGACATTACGCCGTGCAGTCGCGTAGAATTTGACCGAAGTTTAAAGACCCTGATGATGAAGGCAGTATGACCTCTGAAACGTTGGTTAGCATCGACCAGACTACACAGCGCAACAACCCAGAAGACAGAAATCTTCATAGCGTAGATAACTTAGAAAGAATCGCCCTGATGACGGAGGCAGTATGACCTCCGAAACGTTGGTCAACATCGACCAGACTACACAGCGTAACAACCCAGAAGACAGAAGTGGTATAGCTCCTACTCATTCTTTACCTCGGCACTAGAAGGGGTGAGTGGTTAGCATCACGCCCCGACCGCTCTTTACCCCCGGGAATAGACCTCGATATCCATTGGATAGGAGATTGGGTGGGCCCCAGAGCCGGTGTGGACGCAGCGGCTAGAGGAAAAATACTATACTCCCGTCGGGGATCGAACCCTAGTCAACGAGTCCGTAGATAGTCACTATACTGACTGAGCTATCTCGGCTCCAGCATATTAGCTCATAATTTCACTAATATGGTTACAAGTGACCTCGGACCGAAAGTGACCCACGGGCCGCGAATTGTACACGCTGATCTAGGTTAAGCTGCGATATGTACAGTATTAAACAAAAATTTAAGATCACCATGCTATTTTAGTAAACCTTCCACAGGTCTCAAACTTTTGGTTGAAAGTTTTCAATTTTTGCACTAGTTATTAAGTTCACTTACAGCTATCATTTACAAAAACGATCAGGAAAATATGTCTTACATTCATAAGTTATGAATATTTTCAACATTTCAAAGTATAGGAAATTCCCACAAGATTTAATTTTCTGCTACACCTGGCCATTAAACTATAAGGAATATTTTAATCACTTTTGGTATTTTAGTTCATTGTGATGTGAGGAACTTATACAAATAAAATTGATCTCTACGAAATAGTTGTCCTATGATTGTTCACCACATTCATTAGTTTTGGAACTTTGTAAAAAAACATGATAAATGTGCCACAATTTAACTGAAATTACTCAAACTGTATATGGGCTAACGAGGCCGGACTGGTGCCAGTTTGTAGCTACGTAATGGAACTGGAGGCATTATGACCTCTGAAACGATGGTTAACATCGACCAGACTATACAGCGCAACAACCCAGAAGACAGAAATCTTCATACTAAGAATCGCCCTGATGACGGAGGCAGTATGACCTCTGAAACGTTGGTTAACATCGACCAGACTACACAGCGCAATAACCCAGAAGATAGAAATCTTCATACTAAGAATCGCCCTGATGACGGAGGCAGTATGACCTCTGAAACGTTGGTTAACATCGACCAGACTACACAGCGCAATAACCCAGAAGATAGAAATCTTCATACTAAGCATCGCCCTGATGACGGAGGCAGTATGACCTCTGAAACGTTGGTAAACATCGACCAGACTACACAGCGCAACAACCCAGAAGACAGAAATCGTCATACTCACCGCTGTGCAAACCTCAAATCTTACATTGTCTGTTATTGTTTCCTCAGTAACCAATTTTCTTATATAATTATTTCGCATCCTGCCCAATTCTCAACAAGTTTGCATTTCTCAAATAATTCACATCCACTGTAAACAATTTATTACTCTCTTCTCTTTTATAGGATCATCTCACACCCACAACGTTCATCAGTTTCATCATAGCTGTTCCAATTCGTACTTTTGTCTTGGATACATGTGGATATCACCATATCACATATTTACCTTGACTAATTATGGCACTTATTTCTTTCTTTCATACAGATTATACCAAACTTAACACTTTCTTTGCTTAAGACTATTCATCTTCTGATTTTTTTTAAAAGTCTTAGAATCTTAAAAACTTAAAAATCAATGCATTTCAAAGGACAAATTTTCCTTCGTCTTCAGGTAAAAAAATATACACCTATTCCGTTGGGTCTGGTAGACCGAGCTATTCTTATCTGTATCCTGAGGACGAAGGAAAATCCGTCCTTCGAAAAATATCGATTTTTAAGACTTAAAAATAAACGACTGATAGAGATCAAAACAAAGAAATGACTAACCCCAATAAAACAGCGTCCTTACAGTACTACGAAGAGTCCTTAATTGGTTCAAATTCAGAGCCTGAGGAACCCAGTCCACCCCCCACAGTTTATTTAATAACCATCTACACTTAGGTCTTCCAAGTAGTCTCTTCAGATTTTACAACTACGAGGCGCGTCCACAAAGTAAGTTTCCCACTCGTCCCACAGCTAGCAAACCTTATATTGCGCGAAGCGACTGTGCGTACGTGATAGAGCAATGACGTAGCATGGCGCTTGCACTAACGGCACTTCCCGCGTTCTCACAGTAGCATCGTTGCAGCTGTTGAAGATGGAGGTTCTTATTCCAGCTCCCGCCGACTGTGAAGTGCGGTCAGTGATAACGCTAGGCCGCACACGGCTCGACGGACAGCAAGTCTCCTGCAGGAGTTCAGCTGGGAGGTGTTTAATCATCCACCCTACAGCCCGGACCTCGCTCCCAGTGATTTCCATCTTTTCCTACACCTCAAGAAATTCCTGTCCGGTCAGCGTCAGCGTTTTGAGAATGACAGAGAGGCGGAGATGGCTGTCACACAGTGGTTCCAATCCCAGGCGGCAGACTTCTACGACACAGGTATTAAAAGTTGGTCCCACGGTATGACAAATGTCTCAATTCCGGTGGCGAATATGTTGAAAAATAGCTGGACACTTGCTGTATCTGTTGCAATAAATATTTCCATGAAATTGTGTTTTGTTTCTGTAAACGGCCCCAGGGAAACTTATTTTGTGGACGAGCCTCGTAC